GGTGTTTCTTTTCTGCTAGACTTTTTATGTGATCTGGAGTATGTCATTGTATTTCTTGGCACCTCAATTTCCACAGCAGTACAATGGGGATAACGCTTTTCTATTTTCACATGGTTTTGGAAGGACACATTCATTAATGTTTGTAAAGTAATTTGAAATCTTCAGAGAGAAATGTACTTTAGAAAGCTAAGTATTACTTACATTATAGCTGATTCCTAATTATTTCTTTCCAGACTGGGGAATTCAGGTGGTTTCATTTGCTCCACTTTTGCCACATATGGTTTTTATTTCTGACACCATGTAACAAAGGTGCAACACACAGGTACTGATAATAGATTACTCCTTATTTCCTGGCTCTAGTCACTTGACATTGTTCACGGATACAAACTGCATCAAGTAGCATGGTTCCTTCGTCTCCCAAATCCAATAACTACTATTACAACATCCATTCTTTACACTTATGCCTGAGTGTTAAATCATAGATCAGAGCTCTCCCCAAAATAGGCAATACACAGATATTTTATAAACTCTAATATTCAGAGGCTAGTTTCAACCTGGCACCTTCTCTTTATATAAATAAGGAAGAAAACATTTAAAGTGCTAGAAGTGCTACACTGATCTGTAGCACTTCATGTCACTTTAAATGAAATACATAATGTGCTTTTATGGGAAATTAATTTAATTCCATTTATGAAGTAGCAACTCCTGATGCTTCTCCCTTTGAGAACTAACAAGCAGGTTATCAGGTTTCATAAACGAGAGACATGCACATGTATTTAGCAAATCACCACAATGCCTTAAACTTCAGAGGTATTCCAAACATGAGGTTAAGAGTGTGCTTGTTTGAATCTGGTCACTAGTTTATCCACTGGGGAAAAAATGAGGTGATGTTTGTGACAAATAGGGGAATTTTGGTAATATTTGTATTATTCCACAGTGTACCTCAGTTTCCCCTCTGTACTTTGTACTACTGTGCACAGAGTATGAAGGGAAAGGACAAGATGTTGGACTCACATAGCTGCCTGGCTGGAGACCACAGTCACTAATGAACTGAATAGGGCCTCCACACGTGAATGGAAGATCCAGAAGAAACCGTGGAAACACCAACGGCTGGGACAGTCACACCTAGCTACCAATGGCCAAGAGGAGATTTTTCCTCACCTCTCAATAGGGAAAGAGAGCAATGGCCTTGCACTGGAGAACAAAGGGATACAGTGACAGGTGTTCATGCCACAAACTGGACTCGCAGAGAGACAGCACCTCTCACCTGGGCCTGACAAAGGGAGGGACAGAGAAAGGAAAACCAAGATGGTTCCTACAGCAGCATGGCTCAAGAGATCCCTGGTGTTGGGGACTGTCTTAACCTTTGCTTTCCTATGTTAACCTGAGGACTTCCTGATGCAGTATTCTGTTGACTAATAGGGATATTTTAAAATTACATTTCCCATATTTCTCTACTGCTGCCCCTTTTTATGCCATTTCTTTCCTTCTGCATTGGGCTGTCTTGTAGGACTGGGAAATTAATATGGTCAAAAAATGGGAAAAACATCTTAGATTTTGTAAACTTGTTATCACAGGAGTAAGAAGAAATTTCTCTCCATCATCGTGTACAGCATTGCGTAATTGCCAATTTGCATTCAGAGGTTCTCTATCAGGATTTTCAGAGGCAAGATTCTATGTTTCATGGACTGTATCTGGTATAGTAAATCTTATGTTCTGAAAACTTTGATTGCATCATTTACATTTAGGTAGGATTCATATTATCTGAATAAATTCTAAGGTAATGTTTTCTTGCTAAATCATTGTTGTGGGATCTCACATTCCCTGTTGGAATAGGTTAGTTTTTCTGAGGGCTAACACAATTCTTATTTCAGTCCCAGGTTATACTCTGGAGTGAGAGGGGAACATTTTTCTCTCTTACTGGTTTGATGGGCTTGAGTTTTAGAATCCAAGTGTACTGTAATACGGATTTATTTATTTAGAATTTTAGCTTGATGAAGTTAGACCAGGAGGGGAGAGTCTCTGAGTGATGTGATAAGATGTTCAGTTCTAATTTTAGTTTTGTTGGTGAATTTTCAGTTTGTCTAGACTTATCATTTTTAGAGCCACTGAGCCTCCACAGCTCACACAGAAGCTCTGCTATTGGCTGGGTGGAATGTTCTAGCTCAGTGGTTCCTTCGTGACTTCAATTTATAAAAATCAGGCTACTTTTATGTCAGTGCCTCACTTTAAGCCCCTCAGTTGGAAAAATTTGGTCCGTGAGCCTGGAGATATTGGTAGGCACTTCTTAATAAATCAAAACATATATAAATAGATACGAGTGTGTATCTGGAGCTCCACACTCCATGGATGATGATGATACTAAATGTGCAAAAGTTAGAAAAATCACTTGTTCCATAGTAACCGTAAGGCCTTTATTGCATATTTTTGTTTATAAAGTCCTAAAAGTTGAACCCACATATAGTATAACAAAATACTAGATACGTTTAAGTGGTTGAATTCAAGTTGCCGTGGGAAACAATTACATTTCCTGACTTTTCCATTTAAAATCTGGCCCATATGATTATATTAACATCGTATTTATATTTAATACTTTTGTAGGTGTCGGTCTGTATTTTGGAGTTTTAAGTAATTCTGAAATTTATATTTATCAATACCTTCGCTAAGTCCATGGAAGTGCCTCCACAAAGAAAAAACACGTAGGGTATGTATACACTGCAAACAAAACACCCATGTCTGGCCTGGGTCATCTGATTTGGGCTCACAGGGCTTGGACTGTGAGGCTCTAAAACTGCAGTGTAGACATTTGTGCTCAGGCAGGAGCCCAGGTTCTGAGACCCCAAGGATCCCAGGGATTAGGCTTCAGCCTGAGCCCAAATATCTACACTGCAATTTTATAGCCCTGCAGCCTGAGCCCAAGTCAGCTGACCTGGATCAGCCACAGGTGTTTTATTGCAGTGTAGACATGCAGTTAATGTTTTTTGTCAGTAGTCCTTTCAGTGAAGCATAAGGTCAATTGAGATTTTTGAAGGGGGAGGGGACAACCTGAGCTGATCAGCAGTTTCTTTCATTCTTTACTAAATATGCCAGGTCTTACTCTGATCTCAAGGTCTCTAAGCATTTTCAATTGAGATAAGTTTTACTCTCAAAAAAGAAATCTTTTAGCAAATATCTTTTGTTCATACACACAAAAAACAACTTCCACACAACATATACAGCACCACTGTCACAACTATTGCTCTACATAAATACATCACAAACTGAAATAATGCCTGGGATTCAATTTTAGATATAAAATTAGAAGACAATTTAAGATTTATTTTCAGCTTGCTAGTCTTGCACATTTATACATGTGGTTTTGTGAATTAGAATGATGGATTATAGTTTGTAGTCTGCCTTTTTCTACCAATTCTACATTGTATGGTCTAATGTGGTCACCTAATGGTTATTTCTAGTAACTGCACTGATGACACAAAAGGACATTGTCTTTTTATCCATTCCTTCAGGTTTTAAATTACTCTTCCTCGTGGGACATCTGACATCAGCAAAACGGTCAGAAATCTGGAACTGAATCAGCAACTCCAAATGGTGCAGTTTTTCCAGTGATACCAGGTTTGATTTTTAAAAGGTTTACATTAAACCTCTGTTGATTTTACTAAATTGTTTACCGCAATCCAACCACAGTTACAGTTGGATGAAACAAACAGACCTGTACTCCTAATTACATTGCACATTTATACTGTTCCTCAAATTTGAGTTCTGTACAACAATAAAAACTGTGGGAAAAGAATACAAACTTTCATTTTTTATCACTGAGGTATAGTCTTAGCCATATGATACACCCTCCTATCAACAATAAAATTTAGTAATACATGCTTTGAAATAAAGAAAATTGATCCCTTGGGACAGTGGGCTTTGTCCAATTTCCACTTGATTCAATAAAACACTGCTAAAATCCATAGCAAAGTAAAATGAAACAATAATCAAAAGAAGGAGAAATGAAATGGCTGTATATTATATACAAACAGCATATAAAGACAATGCAAAAAGCATCCTAATTGCTGAGTCAATGTACATGACAAAGTTGCCTTTGATGATAGGCAATTGAATGGTAAGAGTTTTTTTAAAACTGGTTTTAAAAACCTAGACAGTTTAAGGAAAAACACTGAAAATCATATCTTTCTGCAACATCTTTCCTCCAATACCCTGAACAAACCTCACTGAATTAAGTTAAATCTTACTATATTAAGTGTATGTACCACTATGGGTCAGGGGTTGTATGTATTTCCGTGAGTGAGGGGGAACACAGCCGCCAGGTAGAATTGGGCAAATTCACTCAGGTTGTAACATGTCCCAAGAGGCACCATCACCTTGAAAGGACTGGTATACACTATCGTACTGGGGAATTCACAGTACAGGCAGGAGATTGTGCAGCCTGGAAATACCTTGGTCTGGAAGAAGAAAGAGGTGTGTCTGCCAAAGAAAGGAAACAGCTGGGGAGCTGGAAGCCTAAGAGTAGGTGCCCTTGCTAGACCAAGAAGGGAGAATATGGGCGAAGTTGCCCTGAACTGTGACACTTTCTATCCAAGATTTATTTTCATACTGAGATCCCTTTCTACCACATGCCAAATGCACATAAGCACACTTGCTCTGAGGACCAAACCAGTCTTTTCTGGATGACTGTGATCAAAACAACAATATTCCTAGTATTCCTTTCAGAGTAGCAGCCGTGTCAGTCTGTATTCGCAAAAAGAAAAGGAGGACTTGTGGCACCAGTCTCTAAGTGCCACTAGTACTCCTTTTCCTATTATTCCTATAATGAAACAAAACATACCTTGCACAAAAAACAAACTTGTAACCAAACAACTACAGGATCCGAGCAATTCCAACATGGACACGGCTGTTGTCTCTATGTTTATGTATAGGGATAAAAAGTTAGAGAGCGAATCTTTAAGTAGGGTTTTTAAAAGAGAGAAGAATATGAATTAAAATTTCCTTACTTTATAAGATGGCAAAAAGCATAAGACCCCTTGGTCAACAGTTTGACACACTGAAAGCAGAAGTGCTCCCACTTCATCCTGGAATTCAAAGGTCTCTGTATGCTGGAATGTGGCATGCAGCTTCCGACCCTTGGGGCCTGCCCCAATGGTGCCAACCCAAACCTGTTGTATTAATATTTCAATGTTATATACATATTTATACCAAATTAATAGGGAAATGTAAAAACTAAAGTAAATAAAATACTGAGATTATTTCTGAACAGATTAATGCTAAGGAACAAGAATATAAAATCGAGAGAGAGAGAAAGGAGTGTAGCAAGTCACCAAAGTGAGAGGTGCTGTTACCAGTAGTGTTTACTTTTTAGCTGTACTGGTGAAATAATATTTACTTACTATTACTACTTTTATTTAAGATTATTATGTATCAACCATAGTTTCATTTAAACACTTAGTTGACAACTTTCTCAATGCAAGTAAATGTCTATTTTACTCTTTCCATTTTGAGTTATAGAAATAGAACGAGTTTATATGGTCTTCATTTTAACTTGCCATTTATTGCTTATTTTATAATGAATATTAAAGTTTCAGGAGTGAAAGCAATGCTGCAAACATTTACCTGAGAGTTATGAATAACATGATTTGCCTCAAGCTGGATAGTAAACTTCACACCAAGTTCTGAAGAAAATGAGTCCATTGGAGAGAGCGTACCAGACGTGAGAACAATTGTCCTGACATTACCACTTAAATCTGAAAAGGCCTAAGGAAAATTAAAAAAACAAATTAGTAAAATCAGTACAAACTATTATATTTGTATTTGTGATCAAATGAGGGTCAGTAAGGAGTTTCTGGCTCACTTTGTACTTAGCTTACCACAGCTGGATTCAAGCACCAAAAGTTAAGCGTATGGACTGCTGTTTTCTGCTGTGAACTCCTCTGATGTTTTGGTTGTGCAAAGAAAGCATTTTTATCTGGAATATCAAGTTGCTTTTCATTTGTCCAAACATATGTTTGTTGCAAAGCAACTCTGTAGTCATCTGCAAATCTATACAGAAGTAAATTAATATAACTGGTAAATAGACGTAACCTGCACTTGTGTTTGTTAAATGTATATTTCATAAATCTGTCATGTGGGTTCAGCATTAAACTCTGAAAAACCAAAACCAGTGTTGACACAATGTGGTTCCACCTTAAGCATCCAGCCTAATGCTGTACCAAACTCTGCCTATAATAAAATGAGCTGGCAACTGTGCATTCAATATATGGAAGAACGTACTCTACACTAGAAACAGAGAATATGATTTAAGATATAAGGTTCAAAAGTTATATGACTTTCCATTTAAGAAACATAAAGAGCCTCTATAATTGCTAAGCCATGTATTACAGAATTAGTTCTAAAACAAAATATTTAATAGCTACAGTTGGCTTTAAGAGTGAAGGTATCAAAAGAGTAGTTTAATTATTTTAAATTAACATTAAAGTGATCTAAAGTGCAGACTGGAGTTAGGCAACATGCCAAGAAAATATTCTAGTCTGACCTTTAGAGAAACCACTCTCAACATTTTAGTTATATAAAAAAGAAAATTAATTTGGTGATATCAACCTACTACTTATTGGATGTTTACCCACAAGAGAAATTTTTTTGGCACAATCCTGTTTAATCAGTAGGTTTTGCTCAGGAGAAACCTGACACTGAAATAAATAACAGAGGTGCTGAATAGTTGAGAAAGAGACAACTTGGCAAAGAGGCAGGAACATGTTTGTACTATGCATGCCTCCACTCTGCTTGGCTCCTACAAGTGCTCATTTTTTATCATGTATACCAAAACTACCCAAATGTCTTGGGGAAAATATTATTTTTGCCATCTTTCCATCTTCATATAAACAATCAGATGTTTACAAAAATACACTCACTTGCAATTTAAATATATCTGGTAAAAAGGAGAAAGAAAAAAAGTCCACAATTCAGGCTATATATTTCCACCAACCTGTTGTTATCTTTAAAAAGATATAGTAGAACCATGAATAGCCCTTTTAGCATAATCTGAGTGGCAGGGCTCACAATAGGAACCTCAATAAGCTCATCTCCTCCATGAAGATTCGATACTTTTTCTTCTTTTTCAAGGACAGCAGCAAAATGTTTCTGCAACAGGCAAACTCCTCATTAATATCATCCTAAAAATATTCCCAAAACAAATGCATACAAATCAAGTATTCACCACAGTATTTTAAAACAACTTCTCTCAATACAGCTAGAGAAGTTAGACTGAAGATAAAAATCTTAATACTTAACTCAGTGCTTTCAATGTGATTGGTACTGTACAGAAAGAAAGAACTGGCTGAAGCATGCAGTAAATATGATTTGTTAGTCAATCTGAATGCAGATGGTCAGTAAAGATAGAACTAAGAGTCATTCCATTGTCACAATTTTTGAATAATAATCTGATCACTGTTATTCTTTGGTAGAACAGAAATAAAGTAATTATAAGACCATTGTAATAAGCTCAGTGTCTGCTACTTTGAAAATAAATTAGTAGATTTAAAACTTGATTCGCCACTCACACTTCTTTTACACAGGTGTGACTGTACTAGTTTCTGTGGATTTACATTTGATTTTCATCATACACACTTTTGTACAACAGCTTTGAGAAACTGGACTGGATTTAAAAGAGCACAAGTAGTGTAAGAGTATTTTAAAACATGAAACCAAATAATATTATGCATTTTTATAATAATGTCTGTAACATAAAACTCTACCTGCAGGATAGGAAATGTAGCATTTGTTATTCCCATATTGTGCAAAATGGTGAGCATTTCCTTTCCACTCCAAACTTTACAGGAGGTTTCATATCCCCTTTCTTTAAGTTGACCAGAGCTTTCCTGTAGCCAACTACAAATGAAGAGAGTAATAAAAATTTTAAATAATTCCTGCATTAATTTCAATGATCCTGTATGACAATTTTCAGGAAGCTAAATTGAATGAACTTCACAAATTGTACCATACTCCTGTGATATTATTAATAATTATTTTAATTTAATATCTTTAATCAAAAGGTTGAGGGCTCTGCATTTTGGGTCTGATTCTGTTCTCCCTTCTGCTAGTTTTACACCGTTGAACTGCACTGACTTTAATGAGAGCTACTTCTGATGTATGCTGGTGGATGTCGAGAAAAATCTGTCCCTTAGTGTTGACATTTCCCCCCCGCTCCATATATTATTTTTTAACTTTATTTAAAAAGGGCATAAAAATATAACTTGTTTCTTTAATTGGTCAGGAATGCATAGGAAACATTTGTGTAGCCTTGCACCAAACCTTATTTTAAGCTATTATGCTTTACAGACCATTCATTACCTCTGTAATTGGTATGATTAAGGAAAGAGTGACAACCTGCACCATACATGCTAAGTATTTCCAAGATGAGTTAAATCAGCCTAATTAAACCACATCCCTTCATTCCAGCCACGGAGGAAGAAAGACTGGATGCAAGAACCCTTTTGCTAGTATAAGCTGTGTTTCCACTAGGGGAACTGGCAAACCCATTCAAGTGTAGGAAAGGGCACTAAAACATGTGCTTAAGTACTTTCTAGAATCAAACATAGGAGACTTCTTTTAAACGGACGTAGAATTTTGCTGGTTACTCACTTAACGGGCCCAGACCTGCCAGTTTGTGCAAAAAGATAATACTAATTATTGGTCATTTACACCCAGTCTCTTGCTTTCCACCCGCTGCTTTCCCTACGGTTGGCAGACTTGACAAGAGAATCAACCTGAGTTTTTCTGATAAGGTTAAAAGGCCGGAGGCGGTCAAATCTCCAGCCTTGTTGCTCTCCTCTGCTGCTAAGAAGTTTAACATTTGAAAGACCCAACAAAGGAGAATTAGTAGCCACAGGGAAATTATTCTGTCTCAGTGGCACACAAATGTTAACCCTTGGCACCAAATGGAGAAGAAAAGAGGGTGAAGTTGAAGGTGTACCTAATCTCTAATATAAACAAGGACTTCCTAAATGAGCAACACTTCCTAGACCAATATTATAACAAAATGCTTGTCCCAAATGTAATTAAGATAAGCTCAATTAATATAAACAAAGCCACTTTTGTTATTTCTTATTGTTATTCCACTATTCAGATAGCTTTCTGATGAAGGAGGCAATCACTTAATTGGAATATTTGGACATGCACAGTTGGGTACCAGTTAGCAGCTACTATATACAGCACTGTACAGTCAAAATACAAAGGAGAATGAAATGGTGGCGGAGGTTTATAAAAAGGGAGTAAAGGAAGTATTATTTACATCTTCAGCAGGGGTCATCCAATTACATTAATCGGCAACAGGTTTAAAACAAACATAAGGAAGTACTTCTTCACACAATGCACAATAAACCTGTGGAACTCACTTCCAGGGGATGTTGCGAAGGCCAAAAATATAACTGGCTTCAAAAAAGAATTTGATGTGTTCATGAAAGAAAGAAACATCAACAGCTATTAGCCAAGATTGTTAGGGATGCAGCCCATACCCTGGGTGTCCCTATCCCTCTGATTGCCAGAAGCTGGGACAGGACGACTGGGATAAATCACTTGATAAAATGCCCTGTTCTGTTCATTCACTCTGAAGCATCTGGCATTGGCTACTGTCGGAAGAGACGATATTGGGCTAGATAGACTATTGGTCTGCCCCAGTATGGCTGTTCTTACGTTCTAGATTGCATAAACTGCCCAGCTCTCAGGCAGGTAGACTGCTGGGAGTCTGGGCTGCTGGCGGCCTTGTTCTCAGGCTCCTCAAAAAGCCCAAATTATCCAGGCAAATCTGGGAGCCTTGGAAACACTTAGAAAGGTCAAAAAGAAATATTATTTCTATATTTTTCAAAACAAAACTTTGGAATTTTTCAATTTCAAGAAATTTCAATTGTTTGTTCCATTTCAGAATGAGTTTTATTCTTAACATTTCAGAATTTCCCATAGAATGGGAATTCCAGTTTCCAATCAGCTCTGTGGTGGCATTAAACTGCCTTAACACAAAATTATGCTTTCTCTTCCTGCAGTTCCCTGCTTCATTCACCATAAACCTTCCAAATTCTGCAACAAATGAGGCACAGGTCCTACAGGCATGAGCTTCATTCACTACACAACCATGATTCAGTCCCATCCATCCATCCTGTGAACTAACGGACAGCCCCTGTAGGGAAAAAAAACAACCCAGTATTGGATAGGCAACCTGAATTCTGGCATTTCCTAACTCAAGTGCTCGACTCTGAAACCTTCGCATTCTTTTAATGTAGGAAATTTTAACCAAAAATACCTACGTTTTAAAAAAAACTTAAACATTGAAAAAACACAATTGCATCGTGTAGAACCACATGCAGGGGTGAAAGGAAGCCGGTAAGGGCCGGTATGGCAGACCTGTAAAAAGTGGCTGCAGGCACCGGCCCATACACGCTTGACTTTAAAGCGCTGCCGTGGCTTTTTTAACATCGCTGTCTCCCCTCCCGCTGGCAGCTATTGGGGGGGGGTGAGGGGGGAGCAAAAGGAGCTGCTGCCCTGGGGCTGGCAATTTAAAAGAGTCTGGGGCTCCGACCGCCGCTATTGTTACTGTGGCAGTGGCCAGAGCCCCGGACCATTTAAATCACCACTGGAGCCCCAGGCAGTGCAGGCCACTGCTGGCTGCAGGACCTGACTGACCTCAGTCCCGCCCCTTCTGCCCGAGGCCCGGCCCCTGGACCGGTAAGTCTTTGACGTTACTTTCACCCCTGACCACAACAAGCATGTGCATCCTCCACAACATCAGCAGGGTTGGGATCTTTAGATCCACAACACTATCCACTACCACTTAAGCTAATGGAGTAACTGGTAACAGAAGAAGGCTATTACTTCTCTGAGGACCTGGTACAAGAAGGAGATGGAAACAGAGAGACACATTTTTCCAGAGGGTTTCACAGCTATCTGCTAGACAGCAAAGGAATGTTAAGACTCAGCAATAATAATTATAATAAATAATTATTATAAATAATAATGGGTTCAGTTCCAAGTTCTAGTGGTTATAGACCCCTCTGCCACTGTTCTCGCAACCTCTCCCTGCCCTCTTCTGCTTCTATACCCACCCTGTTCAGCTCCTACCCTGGTCCCCCTCCCACTCAGCTTGTGCCCTTGTCCGCCTGCTCTGTCTCCTTGTCTTGCCCCCAACTCTTGTCCATGTTCTTCTTCACCCATTCTGATCTTCTCCACGCCATGGCCCCTGACATTCGCCCTGCCCCCCTCCCCCCTCGGCTTCTTATTTCTTGCTCATCACCCCACCCCCACCTCTGGCTCCTATTCCTTATGCCTTGCCCCTCTTCCTCACCCCTGTACATTCAAGTCAGGTTGCTGCCTCCTCCCCCTCCACAACACATGGGCACCATCAGGGAGAGCACTGAGAAAACAGGATTCTCCCTGCTATCAGTTCCTGTGCATGGCTTCACAGTGGCTACTGGAAAGAACAACTGCAGGGAAAGTCCTACGTAGCTCCTGCAGCCAAGGGAGAGAACATGCCTAGTTGGTCTGTGGGGCCAAAACAAGCAGAGTCTCGCCATAAAAGAAGCTGAGAGAGGATCGCGCATGCTCAGTGCAGACAGAATCTTTGGAGAATTTAGCTGCCAAACACTAACATGTCTCTACTGAGCATGTGCACACTGCAATTTTTCAGAGCCTTATAACTTGGCCAGATTTGGGCAAATTTTCACAGGGATGCTTGACACCAAGGTGACCCCACTTGCCAAATTTCAAGTTCTTGTTCTAAAGCATGGAGGCACTTCTCAGCAAAACAGTTGTGAGATTTTTTTTTTTAAACCATGGAAAAAGAACATTTCTCCCTGATCTGGTTCTCAGAAATGGCTGTTATATTAGGTGAAACTTAAAAAAAAAAAAAAAAAAAAAAAAAAATCAGCCTTAGGCAGACATCCTGTATGGGCAATTTTATCAGCCCAAACTGTTTGTGCTTGGCAAAATTACAGGCAAATGAAAAGTGTTGGGTAGCCCTAACTATCGGCGTTGCTACCTGCGCTGCCTTTAGTTAAAGCAAACCCCAATTGTCTTTTACTAAACCAACAGAGAATGTCTACTCTCAACACTTGAAAAACTGTTTGCATAGAATTTTTCTCTACCTTCAGCGTGGAAGATTTCCTCTGGGAACATAAGTTTCTCTAATGCTGACTTAACACTACTTTGTACTGATATAACATCTTCCATAGAAGGCTCACAAAGCATTTTACAAACATTAATTCTCACAAAATCCCTGTGATTGGCCTGATGGGGAAATGCACAGAAAATTTAGATGGATTTGCCCAAAGTCTTGGAGTAAAATTTTCAAAAGCACCTGAATAACCTAGGAACCTAAATCCCATTTTGAAAAAAAGCGAGTTAGGTGCTTAGGAGCTTAAGTTACTTCTGGAAATGGGACTTTTGAAAATATTCCCGTGATCCATTAGACAATTAATTTTCATAAATGCCGCAAATCCTTTTTGGGTGCCCAAAATCAGAAAAACAAGACGTCTGTTTGTGGACTATAGTGTTTGAGGTATATCTGTAAGTCTTCTTGTCAATTATGCAGTGTATCTTCTAGTACATGATATGAAAAAAAGACTATAAACAGTAGGTTTTGTTTTTTGTTTTTTTAAATAGCCTTACTTCATCAGACTATAGCACACAGCCCGCAGGGGATCATGGTCCTTCCGTCTGATGTTGTTGATGACCATGGCATCAAGTTCTTCTCGAGCAAATCTCAGCTGTGTTTCTGTAACACTATAACTGGCTGACTCCCGTGCACAATCTTCAATATTATGAGCTTCATCTAAAATGACTACTTGGTCTTTTAGGTTAATCTCCATCTGCAAAAGACAACAATTGTCCAGTAAAATGAGTAAACAACAGCCAGTAGGTTCATGTTTAAAAAAAGAATCTGTCCAAATTGTGTCACTTGTGCAAGCAATGAAAAGTGATTTTTTCAGAGCTTGACAGAATTTCTGCAGTATAGGAACTAGCTAGGTTTTTCACAAAACTGAAACCTGGTGCCAGCATAAATGACAGAATTTGGTCCTTACTTGTAAATACTATGGGAGCAGAGTTTGTAAAATGTACTTTTATGGTACTATATAATTAATAGCAAAAAGTACAGACATATTGAAATGTGATATATTTATTTATTTATTTTTAAATTAAATAAAAGTATTTTCACTTTTTACACCTTCCCTAAGCCCCCATGCCCACTTCTTGTAGTTATGCCATCCTAGAAGTTTCTCTTCTGTTGTTGTGTGAAAAATCCACACAACTGATTAGCTACAATGGAAAAAACAGTGAAACTGACTATTACCAGAGGTACTGTCATATGTACAAAATAAGGAAATTGCAAAAGAAAAGAAAAATATTCTTTAATCTCTTTAATTTAGATGTTACTTGTAAACTAGCAAGCATTCAGACAGGAATGCAGTTTTAAGTTGACCATGTGCCTTTATCACTTTCTTTATTCATCTCACTTTAACTTCAGCAACAAACAAAATCTAGGGCTTGGCTCCTCTTACAAGGCTGCAGCGGCACCACTATAATACGTAGTAAAGACACTACTTAGGCCGACGGGCGAGTTTCTCCCATCAGCATAGATATCCACTTTCCCAACAGGTCGATGGGAGAAACCCTTCTGTCAGCATAGCACTGTCTATGCCGAGGGTTAGGTCGGCATAACTATGTCGCACAGGGGTGCGGATTTTCCTGAGCGACGTAATTATACCGACATAAGTTCCTACTTTAGATCAAGCCCTACTTACAAATATACTTACACTCTCTCTTATTTGTGGATCCAGCAGGTAGTTGTAAGGACAAAATACAATATCTGCCCCCACCATGAGTTCTCGAGCTGCAAAATAGGCACATGCACGTAGCTTCTTTCCCAGGCTTACTAGATCTTCTATGTCCCAAGCCTGACACTTCTTACGCGCAAACTGTAGAGCATGATGTTCACTAATTTTATGCACACCATGGTAGTAAACACAGGACCCGCCCTAAAAGGAAATATGTGAGAGTTTGAAAACAAAATATTTTACTAGGAACAATGATGTACGTGAACTTACATTTTTTGTGAAACAAAAAACAAAACAAAAAAAACCCCTTATTTTGTAATCTTTTACTTCACCTCGATCACTGAGGTATTTTTAAAAGTGCTTGTTATCTTTTGGACTATAACAACAACAAATATAATGGCAGAAACAAAGCAGGCAAATATGACAGAATCTATAACCTATCATACATAAATCTGTAAGGTACACTTCAGAGTTTTTCCCCAGTGAACCCAAAGAAATTTTTCATCTATTTTACAAATAGCAACCTGGCAGTGGAAGAGGGTGGGATGGATTCTAAATCATGAGCAATTAATAAATCCAAATACATACGGTTAATTCAACTGGGAAGGATAGAAAATAAAATAATATGGCACATTCACATCCACCCAGCAGTATATCAACTTTCTTACATCATCAAATTACCAACCAGAAATGTCTAGTGAATTTAAATCTCATTAGAATCCACCTGAGCTTGTTCATTTGTATGTCTTCTCTGTGCTAACAGCTCAGGAGAGTGTTGTGTTCAACAATAAAAGCAAACAATAGTTGTTCTGCTCATGACTTTGACAGCAGTCCTTCCACTGGTGCTCAGGTGTGTTAAAGCATATCGTTCCAAGGTTGGTTTGGGTTTATTTGTATTGTTTTTCCTGGAAGGGTAGGGGAGAGATTGGACAGGCAAATCTTAAATTTATGGGTTGGAGCTGATACACTGGAATTACAGGGAGGAGTGGAGAATTTTGAAATTTTAATACTGGTTAACACTAGTGTCCCTGAGGTATAACTAAACAACTATTATTTCTCTGTTCTAGTCAGTCGGAGTACAGGGGGTATTTTTGTTTGTTTGGTTTTTTTACTGTAAAATTAGTTACTGTGAATCCTATCTTTTCTTTGATCAACTTTTAAGCAAACAAAACCACCAAGAAGAGAATAAATCCCTGGAAATATATACTTTAGACTAGAGGCAATTAAGGCTGCCTAGTCATATGAAGATTGATAACATGAACAGGAAAGCCCATACCATTTTTAACAGTGTAACACAACCCTAAGGGGCAGATTGTCAGTTGAAATGTTATCACACTTGGTGCCTTTTCGCTCACAAATTGTCAGGTATCTGTTTATCAGCTCACTTCTGTAATATAGTCTTGGTTAACATAGACACCTAAAGTGACAGTGTAATTGGCTCTCATTACCACTACAACTTACCCTTAGCGCTTGCGAGCATAAAAAGCAAATGCTCACTTATACTTGATGAATACAAAATAAACTTGAAGCCTCAACAAGAGGACAAAACAGAAACTAGGTACAGTACGACCATACAATTTGCCAGTGGAGACAACAAAAGCAGTTCCTATCAGCCTCAATAGTTTTCTAAAGTCTGAGATGTACAGTGGAAACCAGCAAAAACCTTTTACTGGATGAATATACTCACAATTATTAAAACCTTTAAGTTTTTAGACACACAATATTTTTGGCATATAATGACTCCCAACTAATCTTCCTACGTTTATGATCAATGTATGTGTGGTGCTGATATATTTTAAAAGTGACCAACAAAGAAAAGAAAAAAGTGTATGTGCCCTTTTTAGCTTCCTTACAGGGAATAGAGGCAGCTGGAAAAAAATGTTCTATTTGCCTTACAACTATCAGTATCAACATTTTGTTGCAGGACTTCTTGAAGGACTAGAAAACTGGAATAAGAGTTTTTCAGCTCACAACTGAAGGAACAGGAACTAAGGGAAGGATCGAAACCTGCACAAATAGCTTTTCTCTTAAGTATTTGTCAGCAGCTTGAATTAAAATAAGTGTTATAAAACAAAACGGTGTTAAACAGTGATATAAAAATCCCATCCCCCTCAATTTCTTAAAATTTAGTCTTGTTCAATCCGACGTACAGCCAAGCCAACTATTTGTTGTCCTCCAGCATAAACAAGGAATTTTAAATGTGAAAACAAGCAGATACACACTGCTTTTTGGAACATTCATTTCAGGCTTATACACTATGAAGAAGCAAAAGATGGGTAATTTTGTTAGCCTTTGCAGATTACCTGTAAATAAATAAATTCTGCTGTGCTTTTGCAGTTTAGTTTTATTTATTTATTTTAAGTGCAGGCTGCAAAAGTGGAAAGGAAACAAGACAGTCTTAAAACAACTCTGAAATGGGAAGCACAAATCCTAAATTTGGTTACCCAAGATGATGATGAACAAATTATGTTATCAAGAACACTTATATCATAGTGTGAGCAAGCACAATGTATCTCTGCTACTATCATTAGCAGATTATTTGTTCCAGATTTGTGGTGGGTTATTCACACGAGAAAGGCTCTAAATTACTACTTACTTAACACAGGTAATTAAGTCCCTATCCTCTTAATTTTGAATCAGTAAACAGTTTGTTCCAACTAGAGAATTACTACAATAATTTTACCCCCATGCATTCTAATCATCTTCAATGCCCAGATACACTCAATAAAATAAAATAAAACACTAAGCAGAGAGAAATCAGGCCTGAATGGATTATTTAATCATCATCAGCATATTTCACATTTTAAAAAAGAAATAAGTTTTGAGAAAGCAAAAGTTATTGCAATTATAATTAAGCTCCCAAACAAACGCTATAATCATATATTGTCATAATCTATTATGCCTTTTAAGTTTTGATGTTGTGAACCAAGATTTACTGAAGATTAATGGTCTAATATAAAATGAATTAGAAGTTACAAAAGGGCTTCCAACCAGCATGCCATTAAGAAGTTAGAATGTTACTCAATCCAGCTGCTCAGGCAGCTAAATCTTTCATTAATATTTTTTAATGAATCTCATTTTCTGAAACAAAACTACTCACATTTTTTCCTTCCAACAAGTCTGCACATTTTTCATTCCTGTTACTACTTCTCGATACCACTGGATGAACACAGGTATGATCCCGGCTAGAAAGAATTGTCATACGGACACTGGAGTATACTGTCCTCTGCAGCTCTCTAGTAATCTGAGCTATTTGCTTGTGTGTTCGAGTTCCAAAAAATATTTTTGGGATGTGTGGCTTTCCTCCATTTTCCTTCCTCTTTGCATAACTAACATTTTTACCATTTTCTTTTGCAGAAGAACAGGAACACTGTGTGCAGAGGCCAGGAGACTGTAACCAAAACAAGGAAAGTTTATGAGGACATTACCACTGCAAACTGCATATACCAAATCTCCATATTGACCACTGAGAGTTTTCCTCTAGGGTAGTTCAAAACTTCCCATTAATTAATCTATCAAACTTTGAATAGTGGACTCAAGTTAAAAGTATACCCAAAACATTACAAAATCTCAAAATAATTTCTAAAAAAGTTATCATAGAAAAGAGAGTATCTCTCGAATAAAAAACCTAAGTGATTACCAAATTCTCCATTTGCTCTTTTCTTTATATATTCTTTGCCAGTCAGTATAATATGTCCAGGTTAATATGCCATTGCTTTGATGGAAATTAAAAGGGTACCATTGAAATAAACATATGAAATTTAGTACCAAAGTTGATACATATCCTTGGTTATACCATCTATTAATTTTACATATAGAAAGGTTTACTGGTACGGTTCACTGTCTCTCCAGGATTTACACAAACCAGACTGTGGTTAAACTCAAGTGCTATGCCAGTAAAATAACGTTAGTGTGAACATGACACTTTAATTTGTTTATTCCTTTGTGCCAGAAAAGAAAAAGAATTTTTAACTAATTTTTACAATGCACGAGGAAAGTTTTTCCACTTTAGGTTTATTTTCTGTCATCAAGCATGGCCAATTACCTCTAATTTACCTGTGACAAATTATTACAATGAAAAAAGCCAGGACAGTTTAGTAGCAAGTTATGCAGGACACCTAGCGTTAGGAGTTCCCAGGCCTTAAGGACTGAGTAAAAGCGTGTTATACAAGAGACACATGCTGTCTTCAAACCAGATGGCAGCCTTTGTTTCATAGCAGACAAATGAAGAAAAAGTGAGGAACATTGATGTGGGGGGAAAAGGATTGTTTATTATGTTTCTTAATTTGAACAAGTACTTATATACTGACTGCCAGCTAAAGGAAATTACTTTTCCATTGAGGGCTTGATCCTATAAGGTGCTGAGCACTCTGGCCTCAATCCAGTAAAGCACTTAAGCATGTGAATAGTGCAACTGAAGTCAGAGAGACTTCTCACATACATAAATTTAAGCATGTGCTTAAGAGCTTTGCTGGATCAGGACACGCGTCTGCAGCACCTTAGGATCAAGACCTGACTGGGCAACCACATTAAAACTAATACTGAAAACTTTGTTTTAACGTTGTTTCATCTGCAAATCAAATTTCACTAAATTGGCTTCAAAGCATATACTCCATTAGTAATACACTCATCATGGTGTTATGCCATTAGTCAATTCTAGTGAATACTCTCATTTCGCCTTAACAGTTTCATAATTCTTAACTAGCAGAACTGAATCCAGGAAAAATATTTGGAATAGCAGGACAACTGGGTTTTTTTCCCCACTCTAATTACTTTGTCACAGAGAAATTCATCCTCAATCTCTTCCACAACATGAACTATTGGGAAGATAATAATTAGGATGTAGGTAGAGGATACAAAGAAAATGTTAAGATATCTCTAAGAAGAGTATCTTGTCTGTACAAGCACATGCAATAGTGAAAAACTGATCAGCATGTCTTAAGAGCGTAAAATAGTTTGCACTTGGTTTTTAGTTTGATGGCGCAGGTAGCAACAAACTGTACTTGACAGCTGAAAGTTTTTTCCCCTGCTTTTAATTGATTATCCTTCATAAACAAATGCTAAGTCATGGCATGTGTTACACCACAATACTGGGGATCAAGCTGTCTCTTAGCCTCCACTCTGTGGAAAAGCAAGTTCGAATTACCCTGAGTCCCCCTCAGCGTTGTCCGCCATTAAATATTACAATACATGATAGAATGGATGAAAATGTGACCCTTCTGGAGCTGTCACTCACTGGGATAAAAGGTTCACTGATGTGCTAAATAAACAGGCCGTCAAAGCAGATGAAGTTACAGCCATGCTGGAATTGTTACATTCCCCTCTCAGGTTGCCAGTAACAGCAGATTTCATTACGGTGTGCTGCCACATTAAATAGCCAGTTCCAAATATCCTGCCTTCTATATTGAATAATTACTTATTCACTGAAAGGATAAAAAGAAGAGAGTTATGAATGGGGCTCTTGTCAGCACTGAAGCAGGAAACAGCTGACATGTGGTGTATGTTACATATGCGGCAATATCCGACAGTTTATACTCTCAGAAAATTGGAATGCAAATTATATCATGATATTTTGATCTATATTCTATTTTGATCTTTGAAATAATGATATTTATTAACATACTAAGAGAATTAATGTAAATAAGCTGTAGAATCAGTTTACTTTTGCTGACTGTGCAGGCCTTTTTGCCCATATCTATCCCCTTTCATTTGAATTCATATTTTTCCCTCAGAGATGATGCAATACCATTAATCCTTTATGGGAGGATAATGTGAGGCCTAAACGTTTACTTTACTAAATGTAAATTTTAGAGAAAGCTAGACCAGTACAACAACAATTTCCCAAAGCACAGTAATATTTGCTGTCCTACACTGTACTTATACAGTCAAGATGATTGGAAAATGCAATTCAAATTTTTATATACAACACCAACAGTGATAATTCTTTCTACTGTATCTTTGTGGAAAAAATAAATTTCAAAGAAACTTTTTATTAAAAAGCTAAAATCAAAACCATTGCCTGCATATGTGTGGGGGTGTATATAAATTACAATATTTTACAGGTGACCTCCAAGTTTTTCTTTAAAAAGATTGAAATTGGCATAATACTGGCTTTCAGAAGCACTCCACTCACTACTGCAACTTTAAAATGTTACCTTTTACTAACAAAACAAAACAAACAAAAAAATCAGGAAAGCTGTAAACTCAGGCTGATTTTATAGTAACCAGTAAAAGTATATAACTGCTTTGCAGCAGTCATAACATTTCTGAAAGCCACAGACGCCCTCAGCAAAGAAAAAAAAACCCCACTTTAAAAAGGTGCCTATATAACAACTAACCAACAACAAAAAAACCCACACATTAAGAAGGCTCTTATTTGAGAAGGTGAGCCCTTTATTTGCATTAAACTGGAGTTTCACACTCTCAAATGCTCTTTCTCCATTAGAATTTTTTTGGGAAAGATCTTTCAAATATATTAAAACTGAAAGTTAATTGAAAGTGCCTTTAGGTTAGGCATTGACACATGAGGAAGCACTTCATAAAACAATTGAGCTTCGGGTTTCTATGACAAGTGGGTTAAAGTAAACAGCATACAGATCAATCAGTAAAGAGGATTGTCTGTTTTAGGCAAGCTATTCCCCAACCTTGCTTGAGTACAATTAATTTATGACCCAGGTGCATATAGCCACATAATTCCATGGTTTAATGTGGGTTATTTTTACTTTTATTTTCTAAAAACATTTTTTAGTCAAAAAAATTCCGCCCCTCTAAGCTTAACAATTGAAAAAGGATACTACTGTTCAACTTGTTCAGGCCCTCAAAACTAGCTTTCGTTGAGGAAGGTAAGATTTGGGCAAAATTCCTGGAGGATGCATTGCCTGTGTGCATGCAAGCGCACACACACATTTTATATTTAAAAATAAATTATTTTGGGATCCTCAGCAATAAATATTTATACTTCTGTTGCAGAGGACCCAAACAAGCCTTTAAAAAGAAAGAGAATCTAAATGTCATCATAGGATTTACCTTCCTTAAAAAAGTTCTGGTTAGGGACTTCAGCAGACTAGATTTCTGGTAGACCATAATGTAAAGAAATGCCATTTTATGATTAAAACATAGTAAAATCAGTCCCAAACTGACAAATATCTCTGGAAATCAAACAACACAAAGAAGGAATAATTAAGGCAACAGGATGGTTAAAGCAGCAACTTCTCCTTCATGCTACCCTACATCTCGCAATACTCAGTCACGGAAATTTCTGCAGAGATTTTCTTAAAAAAAAAAACAAAGTTGGAAATAGCTGAGATTTTTAACATTTTCATAAGTGACACTTTGGGTTCTGCATTTCTGTACCATAAGCTATTTATATCATTGTAGTTGTGACTTAGCATAATTTATTACATTGTAGTCTCCCATTACTGTAGAAAGAGGAAAAAGAGCCCTAGTTACTTTTCACTGTAAAAGGTAATTACGGTATAGTTGGGGAGTACTGCAGTAAAAATTATAAATCTGCATTTCAGGAAGGAGAGGAGCTTGCTAAGCTACAACAAAAGTATCTGTCATATTCCTTTCAGGGCAACTGAGAAATAGTGAGGAAAGAAAGTTAACTTGAATACTAAAACTTATTTTACTAATGCCCAAATTTGTTAACCTTCAGGACCCAAGTTTGTTAACCACAAGGCCCATGTTTTTCTCTGTTTTGGCAGGAAGTTGAAGAAAGGGTTCAAATGGGACTTCTGTGGTTGAGTTTTTGTTATATTTATATTGCTGCTACAACAATGCTCTTGAGTTTGTTATAAATTGTATGGTCTATTATTTTATTTTGCTTGTAAACTCCCTGGGACAGAGAGCACATCTCTTGCATCTGAACAGTCTGGTACACCACACGTGCTCAATAAATATCTTTCTCCTGCATTTCCCAAATTATATAGTACCTTTTTTGGGTTTTAAATCTTTTTTATTGAAAGAATTCCTAGATACACACAAAGATAGTAACTGGTAAAAACAAGTTAAATAGTTAGAACAACTTTATCTACATTATCATTTTATAACTCTCATTAGACTATTTAGAATTAGAGGAATATTACATTTTTTTAAGGAAAGATTAAGGGCAATATCTAATTTATCCATAAGGCCCTGTTCCACACTACGAAAACACCCAAGTTTACCCAGAGATGTTAAATATGATTGTACTCCATCTGTGTTACTGTTGGTCCAGAGAGCCAAACTGTGATAACTGGTTTAAAAATACCAAGTGATTTAATCCTGGTAGAAAATACTTGTTTAAGGAAGGAAGTTTTAAAATAACTGGTTATAACACAGTTTGGCTCCATCCACACTTAGCTAAAAAAAATAGTTGAGCTAACAACTGTTTTACACCATCTAAGGTTA